ACTTCCCTGCCAGCTTCCCTACTGACTTTCTGGGGAAGCTGGCAGGGAAGTTTGCAAATGGCGATTACATGATAATGGGGCACTGCAACAGGTCATAAGTGCGAACTGGTTGCCAAATGCCCAGATTGTGATCATGTGACTGCAGGGGTGCTGGGATAGCCAGAACTCCAAGGACCAGTCATAAACACCATTCATTCAGCACTGTTGTAACTTCAAATGGTTGCTGAACGAATGGTCAGAGGTTGAGGATTACTTGTATGTGTGTCCCTTTTCTTAAGTCAATCAGTCTAAAGTTCTTGCAATAGAGCAAGACAAAAAATGTTTGTTTTTGAAGTGCTGGGGTTGACTTGACAACAGCTCCTTTGGTATTATCAGGTAATCAATTTTGATTATGAAATGATTTAATGATATCTTTCCTATGAAATAACTAGAATCACTTGAAAGTACAATTCTAGACAAGAAATTAGATCAATGAACTGCTGCAAAGAATGGTAAGGAAAAGGACTCTGAGGGTGTGAATGTACAAATAGGACTGTGTTTCCAGGTATCAAGATTACAGAAAGAATGTGCCCCATTATTGTGAGAATTCACATATTAGGGTTTTGATGATCTAGGAACCAAAAGATTTTGTATTCACTTTTTTCCTGGCCAAAGATAGAGAAAAAATAATATTAACATACATAGTTCATAATTTAAAGCTGTCTTTGAAAAGTGCTATATGTTCCTTATATAATTAGGATTTTTGTTTGGCTTGCCACAGCCCATGACTAGGGTGGTGACATCAGCTCAACAGAAGGCTGGAAGGACAGTCACTGCTAAAATCACTGGTCGTCCAGATTTTGCAACAAAGAATCGTATTTGCAGTAACTTAGATGTGTTGGGTGTTTCGCCCCCCATGAATTCTGTTGTGGTGGAGAAACATCATCCCATCACTCAGGTAAATAATGAGTTCTGTGAATAACTTCTGCGTTTTATGTCTCCTTTTATTCTGTGACTGGTTTGCTTTAGGGTTCTGGGTAAAATGATTGTGGAGGTTCAGATTAGAAATGCCTACTGAATTAATTTGTGTACACTTTTAGGTTACTGTCTTTTGTCTGGCATGTGATGGAATCCTATATGTACTATTAGGCACTGAGCTATATATTTTTCTTTTGTTTATTTATTTTACTTTGCTTGTATACCACCCATTCCCAAAAAGGCTCAGGGTGGCTGATAGTATTGACATAAAACAATAATCCAAACTTGATATAGAATAGATATAGATACATCATTCATTCATATATATATATAAAGAAAAAGTTAAAAACTAGAAGATACAGCTCCCACACCTGCAAACATCACCTTCAGTTATACCACACCCTCTTCCTGCACTAGGTAGAACAGGTCAGTCTTCTTCAACATTTGCCTAAAGCCCAAGAGGGATTTATCAATGTGGAAATAAAACAGTAACATCTGTATTTGGTTTTGGTATAAATTTTGTATTTCTGGGTATTCAAAAGTATATATTTTGTAAATTTAAAGATTCATAAAAATAAATAGGAAGGAGACCCAAAATAACTTGAAGAGGATTAAGCATACTTAGTGATCTTTGGGGACTCCTGAATTTTGAATATCAGTTGGAAGCAAGAAACAGGAGTTAGGAGACTGGATTGATACCTTAGTGTTCTATAGCATTCTAAAGAGGCTGTTTTGTTAATTGGAATATGGAAACAGGAACATATGGAAGGTGCCAGATTTAATCTTGAGTTTCTCCAAATGAGGTTAGAAAAAATGCTGCTCTGGAATGATTCCAGTCCTTAAAGAGACTATGGAGGAACCAATTGTTTGACTCAGTATGAGGGAAATACTAATGGAGTCAGTTGCTAAGCTTCCAGAGTAATCATATGTTTCCATTTTCCTTGCTCTTCAGTTTGTTTGGGATTCCATGGTGCATACTAAGAAAGGGGAGTGTCTCTCAATATACATACCATGAGAACATAGGGAACTGGTGGCACAGTCCGCCTACACCTTTCTTGCCATTTAGATGTTTTCCTTGGATGAGCTGAGTAGCAGTTGCTAGAGGAAGATTGTGAAGGAGATTTCAAGCCCATCCCCTTATGAATCTGACCTTGCTCCTCCATTGGCATTACAGGAAATAGCTGAAAACTAAGGGAAAACACCTCCCTGGAGTGGGCAAGACTAAGGAAAATGAGTGGAGCTTGGGGAAGCCAACAGGCTAGATACCTCTGCATTCTAACTCTGAACTAGAATTCAGCATTGAATCCCAACCAAGCCTTAAATACATTTTTATTGTAAAAGAGCATGCCAGAATACAAGCATCACCTAAGAGAAGACCTGTTCACTGGTGACCAAGATGATACTGTCAACTTGTGGCACATGCAGCAGGATTTTCTTAGATTATCTTAATAATTGGCCAGTTCTTCATCAAAAGTTAAACAGAATTTTCTAGTTTGTTTGATGTGTGCTATCTTTTTGCTCTCCTCACCTTTTAGTATGTTCACAGATCTGTGTGTTAATTAGATTCATGTTTCTTTTCTGTCAGTTTCCTTTAAAATGCTACTATAAGGGGAAAAAAGTCAGTTAAAGCTTTTGAATGCAGTATTTCTTCAGTTCAGTCTAAATAAACACATATGGGCATTACTTTGTGACAAGTGGCAGGTTGTAAACTAGCATTACTTTAGCCATTTGGGACCAGGCAGATCTTACTTTGTTGATGGTCTTGCTTGGATAGAGCTCAGTAGAAATGGCCCAGCTGCCCTCATTTCTCTGGCCAGACAATGCTGGTTGAAGGATGAGCCCATGTTTGCTTTTCTCCTTGCTGTGATGTTTTTATTGGGAGACTAGGATGTGAACTCCCAGTGATCTTTGGAGACCTGACTGTGTTTGCAAAGAAGAATAAATTCCTTTCTCTTCTATATATTTCCATGGCAACTCAGCAAAGCACATGGAACGATGTACAGTATACAACTTTACTATTAGGTCCAACAAGATATGAGATTTACTAGTAAAGGTAAATGAGGGCAGAAGTTTTGCATTTGAGAAAAGTCTTTCTATGCTCATTTGTAGATCCTCTACAAGAGAGCTGCAGTATGTGAAAAGGCTGATAATCTTGCATCTCTGTGGGCTGGGAGGAAAGTCTGGGAGCTGGCTGCAGTAGATCATTGTTGTTCCATGTCCAAATGAAAGCAGGGTGTATTTGCTTCACTGCATAACTAGATGCTAGAAATAATATCTTCTTCATATAGCTGCAATCACTGTAGTCTACATCTAAAATGGCCCAGAAAATACACAATACACAATACACTGTAGTCTACATCTAAAACGGCCCAGAAAATACATGACACAAAATATTGTACTTTTAAGGCGATTGGGCTGCTAGTTTGACTTTCATACAGAGGAATTTTGATTTTTTGTTTGTTTGTTGTGGTAGTTTGTTTCTTTTTGTTTCAAGAATATCTTGAGAAAAGCTGTTAATATGGATTATCAGACAATCTAGACTATAGTCTACTGTTTTAAATTGTAGTGCTGGAACCTGTTCAGTGATATTGTCTAAACAGGTTTTTTATTGTCTAAATTACTAGACAGGTTTAACTGGTTTGTTAACTCAAGCTTGGGGTGGCTTAGTAAAATCTGAGGCTACTAGCTGAGCAATTACTTTGCTTCCTTCTTTTAGATGGAGATAGTTATGGAACAACTAAAAGTGTTCCTGGCCATTTGTGTTCTTTGTGTTCCCTTTTTATATTATTAAATTGTTTTACTTTGTGGGATTGGACAGAAAATAAATAATAACTTCCTGCTTATATCTTTCAGCAAACTATATCTCAAGCTACTGCTGCTAAATATCCTCGAACTCTGCACCAGTTTTCTAGTGCTATCAGCATAAGACATCTAGGACACAATGGGAAAACTCATACCGAGGCTCACAGCAACATCCAGTCAATAAAGGTAGTGGAGTAGGTTCGCAGGTTAAAATGCTTGTATTTTATTTTAAGTGTGTGGAGAAAATTTTCCAAGTTATAGTTTAAAATGCTCCCTAGTGTTTGCAGATTAATGGAATAATAACCCAAGGATGCATCATGTTTTTCCTCTCAGTAATGTAGATGTAAAGATATTCTGAAGCATAAAAAATACGCCACCCAAGTTGGCACAATGTAGTTCTGTATAACTGCAAATAAGGTATACTTGAAATTTTTACTTTCTTAAACTTATTAAATATGCTTATTTAATGTTTTTAATAAAAAGGAAGTATTGAACGTGTATATTCTAAAAAGTATTTCTGCTTTATACATTAATAAGAGCATAGATAATTTTGCCACATTCTGAATTGGGATCTAAATTGTCCATATAGTAATCAGACTTGAAATTCAGAAAGTGTTTGGTTCTGCTATATTTTATCTTCAACCATTCATAGGGCAAGAACATTGCAGAGAGAGTTTATTACTCTTACTCTATTTATTTACTATGGTGGGAATCCAACTGTGTGCTTCCATTAGTAGAAATAGTATTCACTGATACCCTCAACCCCAGCTGTACTCCCTCCAAATATGTTCTACAAGATCCTCCAATGTAGATTTTAAGGATGTGCAGAAATACTGGGGGGGGGGGGGGGG